TTGATGCCCTTATGCTGTGTAGCAAGTTTGAGCTGATTCTGACTTCAATTTTTCAAATTACGGCCATTTTAAGAAAACACCAAAAATTCGAAAAGTACCCAAGGCTATAGTCCATGGTTTAAAAAAAAAATGGCTCTAAAATCACCTCAAATTTTTATTACATTTTCTGATACATATTGATGTCCTTATGCTGTGTAGAAAGTTTTAGTTGATTCCGATAGCAAATTTTCGAGTTAAGACCATTTAAAAAAAAACGGGCCAGTATTTAAAAATTAGTTAAATTACCCAAGGCTATAGCTCATGGTTTTTTTCCAAAAAATGGCTCTAAAATGACCCCCAATTTTTATTGCATTTTTTGATTGATGTCCTTATGCTATATAGTAAGTTTGAGCTGATTTGGGCAAAAATTTCACTCCTACCACTCACACCGGTCTTCCTATCATCACTGGTAACCATAGCAACATATTGACTGTCATTGTATTTATAGGTCACCTGATAGAGATAGGAAGAAACACTCACGATCAAGAAGTCGTTGAAGATCTCATTCACCAAGAAGAAATTATCGTCAAGGTATAATAATGCTTTATTTAATATTTTTACTTATTTATTTTTTTATTATTTCAGACGTAAGGATAGAGTAAGGGATTATTCCTATAGTCCTAGTCCAGAGAGGAGGAGGAGTAGTAAGAAATCTAAAAAAGACAAGAAGCACAAGAGAAGGTCTCCCTCTGTCTCTCCCTCAGTCTCTCCTCCTCCACGTAAAAGTAAATAGAATTAATTTATTTTATTTAATATCTATTAATATTACTATTACTGCTATTAGATGTAAACCAACAAGATCAGAAAAGAAAATACAATATTGGTCTAAGTGTACACTGCTACATCCTAAACAGGTGTTTAAAACATTCATGTCTTCATTTTGACCAAAAATGGTATTGGCAGTGGAGTATGGTCAATTTATCTAATTTCCTGTTCACTATAGTCTCATACATAATACTACTGACCACTACATGCAAAACAGATGTTTAAAACATTCATGTCTTCATTTTGACCAAAAATGGTGGAGCATGGTTAATATTTTTAATTTCCTGTTCACTGTAATCTTGCACACATACAATCCATCCTTCCCATCTTTTGGCAGTATAACACTACACCCATCT